ACGAGGTGGAGAGTCCAGAAACTAGGGTGTCTCCATCACCACAGGCGTGAGTTTAGCTATTAACTTGGACTCGTGGTTACCGGGCCCTGGATCGCGTGTTGTTTTTCCTGGTCTTGGCTCAATCCCCAGGAGAAAAGTCTGTGCCTTTCCAGGGTCTGGTTCTTAGCTGCGAGAGCCAGCGTGAGGGCACTCTGAAGCCGCACCTACTCTAGCTTCTCAGAGGCCACCGGTGTCCCGGGCCGGCCTGTGCTCCTGGCGGCTCACACCGGCAACCTGGTGCTCACATATGTGTGAACGTACACACCATGGTCAGCAACTTTGCCCAAAGACCTGGAAGCCGTGCACACAGCACACAGGTTGGGATGTGGGCACCCTGGGGTCACGGGGAGCTACGGCCAAGGTCCCACAACCAGAGCCTGACTCCTGGGCTGAAAGTGAGAGCCGCTGGGCTCTGGCCCTCCAAACGCCGGGCTCAGGGCCACGGGGGACTCAAGGCTGAGGAGGCCAAGCACTCCGCTCTGCGGGAGGGAAGGTGCTGAAGGTGCCCCCAGAGGAGGGGCTGGCATGCCTGCAAGACTTCTGGCTTGGGAGGAGGGGTAAGCTCCCCACTGGAGACCGTGTAGGAGAAGGGAAGGAGGGGCGGGTGCACTGCGCCAGCTCTCATGCAGACTGCTCCAACCTCTGCTTTCCAGACAAACAGACCAGCCCCAGATGCCCGGGACACCCACGGGCGGGGCACAGGTTCAGACAGGCTCATGTGGAGGAGGACTGGCCTATAAGGGGTGCCGTTTCTGGGGTCCAGACTAAGGGAACCCCTACGTCAGAAATGTCCCAGAGAAACAGAACATGACCACAGGGGAAATTTAAATTTTTCCAACAGAGATGAATCAACTCTCAGACTCTATTTGGTCAATGCATCAACACATTCTCACTTCAATACTTAAGTCACGCAAATATTCTGTGCGCTTCCAGAACTCCGCAGCACCATGGGGCTGCTGGCCACGTTGGGACAGAGCGGGTCTAGACACTGCAATCAGTGGTGAGGCCAGTGCAAACGGAGGAGAAGGACGACCCAGGTCCTGGGTCGGTCCACTGGCTAATCCTGCCCCCTCCCCACCCCTTCTCGATGCTCACATCCCTCCTCACCCCATCCTTGATGCCCACCCCTCTCCAACCCTGCCTGATGCCCACACCCCTCCCCGTGTCCACACCCTCATGTTGGCACCAGGTCACCAAGTGTCCACAAGTCCCCAAGAGCCTGTGGGGAAGTGATGAAGGCCAAAGCTGAAATGCTGACACCTCAGGACGCTTGTTGCAAGTTAAAGACAATGTCACCAACAGACACTCAGACCTTTCTAGGCCGCCACAGCCACGTGTGGCACCAGCAATGGGAGCATTCTGATCAGACCCCACTGGCTGGAGCGGGTCCCCCTTCATCACACCTGAGTCATGGATGGGGCTGTGAGCAGCAGTGCCGGTGCCCGGCTTGAAGAGCCCCACTACTGGGCGTCAGGCAGCTAGGGCTTGCCAAGGACGCCAGGTGCCCCCCACGATCCAGAGCGTGTGGCCTGGCAGCACCCCAGGTGACGGCACGATGCCTTCTGGGGAGCCCCATCCATAGCACTTGTTTCCTCCGTCTGTTCTACTGGGCAGCGTCGGCAGAGACCCCCCACGCTGTACGGACGAGGGGCTCGACACAGGCAGGTGGCAGCGGAGCCCCCCATGTAACCGCCATGTGTACACGCGGCACGCCCAGCAGGCTCCGTGCGAACCAGGTCCAGAAAGGAGAAGGAAAAGAGGAAAACAGCAAAGGGCGGGCAAGCAGACAGACTTCTGTCTGGGCTGGGGAGCCCTGCTCCAGCCGCGGCCCAAGGCCTGGTCCCCAGTGGCTGGAGCGGGTTCTGGGGAACCTCCACATCTGAAATAAGCTCCCATGGAGACCAAAACGCACAGACACACTTTTTCTCCTCTATGGTTGATGGTAAAAATGAAAAGCATGAATTTTTATCTATAAAAGAGCAAAAAAGCTCCCCTCTTTCTTCCACTTTAAAACAACGGCGGACCAAGAGAAATAAGCACGTCAGGAGGCCCCCTGCCAACACAGGTTTCAGGCAAGTGCACGAGATTTCCGTGGACGCCGCCGCGTGCCCTTACCTCCAGCCGCCGGATGATCTCCCGAAGAGGAAGAGCCGACTCCTGCCCCCCGATGAACGTCGTGGTGGGCAGGTGAAAGACCTTGTCCAGGTCGGACTCGTCCAGGCCATAGAACCCTGCAGGGGTGAGGAGAGATGGGCACAGCCACACGGAGGCCACAGTTTATGGAAAGGGGAAGGGACTCCCCGGAGGAGAGAAAAGAGAAGAGAAAAAATCATAAAAATCTCTGATATACGTGAAAATAAGTAATATTTTACAGCCAGAAACACAAACTGTAGCAACAAACAGAAGCTGAGAATATTACTACCATCACAGCTTCAACAAGAATAAAGTTCATATTATGCGTGTATTAGTCCAGTGCACTAATTATTCATAATCTAGAGATAAATGTCTTTCAAGGCCCCAGGGACACAAATGTTGACTTGAAAAGGCACTGGGTAAGTTAATCGGAAAGCAAATGAGAAGTAGTTAAGGAGGGGGTTCAAGCAGAGACTGAGGAACTGGTGTGGAAGGGCCCCGTGTGAGGAGGGGACAGGAGCTGGGGGGACTGAGGCGGGGCTGACGGCTGCCCCCTGCTCTGACCACCTGTCTGCACCCGTCCTGTACAGGGCACTCGGCAGGCCCCCCGACCCCCACTAACACAGATCTACTGACTCGTCACCAGCATTTCCCGCAGCACCCGCTACGCCAGGCACCTCTGACAGCGTATTTTGAACTGACACACCACGCGAAGGAAGGGCTCTCTGTCAGGCACGACGGGCTTGTTTCCCATCATGGCGACCATCATGGGGAAGAGGCTGGAGGACTGCTGGGTGGCACAGAAGACTGGGCTCCCGCTGACCCTGACCCTGAGAACTCATGCCGGCTGGGCGAGGCGGATGCACCAGGGCACACCAATGTGCAGGACGCCAGCGCACCGCGGCCCGGGACACCCGGCTGTGCAAGGTCACACTCTGTCCTCGTGTCAGCCTAACTGAGCAGTGATGGCACAGGAGGGCCGGGAGTGGGCCTCCGGCCGTTGCAGGCAGAACCACTGGGAGGGCTGAAGAAGCGCCCACGTGCAGGCCCCAGCCCAGTGCTGACTCCCTGGGCGCGTGGGGGCCAGAAATGCCCAGCTGTGCCCATCCAAGCTGTCATGGGGACCACAGCCTGTATGCATTTAGCACCTCAGCACACACTGTTTAAGTCTTAAAAGCAAATTCTACGTTTTCCAAACCCTTTGTGCTTTCTTGAAACAAACGCTTTTTCACATGGGGGCAGTGACGGCCGCGGTGGCTTGGGGAAACGCACGTGCCCCTTTCCTGCTGCTATTCTACCCAGAATGGGGACGGGCCACCGCAGAGGTCTGCTGAGGCTCCGGGCGCTCACCGCCCGGCTTGTGGTATTTACGGAGGACAGCCAGAATCAGGTGGGGGCCATTCTTCCTAGATGCTGAGAACAGGCGTATACACCCCGTCGGGAACACTCTGATCCAGGGAACCTCAGCTTGGCAGGACCCTGCCTCGGGGCGAGGGCAGCTCCTCAGCTCCGGGAACGCTCTGATCCAGGGAACCTCAGCTTGGCAGGACCCTGCCTCGGGGCGAGGGCAGATCCTTGGCTCTGTCACCCTGTGCTGACCACTCCCGGGCTGTCCTGCTGAGCCTCCAAACGGCCAGCCCTGCTGCTATGTTCTTCAGTCACACAAGAAACTGACTCTCGGACACCTGCTTCCAGGAAAGTGGAGCAGACGTACTCCTATCCATTCCCCACTAGCTGCAACTACAGAGCCCAGACATCATAGGTAAAACAAACATAAGCCAAAGCCAGAAGGTGGAGAAGGCAGCTGACCAGCCAGTGAGGACCCCAGATTTCCTTCTGGGCTCCCACATCCCAAACTTGGGGCAAAGAACAACCTGAGAACTCCTCCAGATGCAGACCAAAAAAGCCCCAATGAAAGCTGCTCTCTCTAAAGGGTCAGGAGAGGGGCAGCTGAGCAGGGCTGAGAACTCAGACAATGACCGCTCTATTCTACCCAAACATGTAGCACACACTGCAGCCCAGCCACACCCCTGCAGGCTTCGAGGCATGTCAAAGTCCAGCTCCATCCCAGGGTTTCACAGAAGGACCAACAGGGAGCCCAGACTTTGCTCCCTCCAGGAGAGGATGCACCAGCCCACTTCCCCATCCTGGCGTCGGCAGAGTCCGTGGACACCAGGGCCCCTCCCTGCCACGGCAGTGTTCAGACGGGCCCTGCTGTAACAGAGATCGGAGTACAATTCCAAGTCTGGTAATACCCAAACATTCTGGTTTCAAGAAAAGAATCCCTCACAACAAGAACCAGGAATCCCTTAGACTGAATGCGGAAAGATAACCAATAGACACTAGCTCCTAGACGGACACTGGAACTACCCGCTTGGGGCTCTCCAGGAGCCATCCTCAGACAACTTTAGTGAGCACTCAGAATGTTACAGGGACGGTGGGAAGCCAAGTATCTACAAAAACTGAAGATGCAGAAAAGGACTAAATGTCAAAGTCTGAAACTGCAAAATGCAATCACCTGAATTAAAGTTGGGCAGGTGGGCTGGAGGGCAGAGAACCAGGGACCATGAAGACAGAACAAAAGAGATGAACCAATCTGAACAACAGAGAGAAATGAAGAAACCCTCGGGGACAGGTAACATAAAACAAAAGCCTTCTTGTTTGTGCCCATGAATCCCAGAAGGGGAGGAGGGAGAGGGAAGATGAGAAAAGGGACCTGGAAAATAATGGCTGAAATGCCCCAAATATGGCCAGAGACGTCAACCCACAGATCTAAGAAGCAGCGTGAGCCCACAGGAGAAACCCAAATATAACCACGCCAAAATACAGCATAATTACACTTCTCAAAATTAAAGACAAAGAAAAAAATCCTGAAAGCAGCCAGAATAAAAGGAGGGAAAAAAAACACTTGAAGGCAGAGGGTTTCTCATCGGGGGGGGGGCAGAAGAGGGGCACATACTTTTCAGAGGCCCGTGTCCAGGGATGGACCCTCCGTTCCACCCTTTAGGAACGAGGGGGAAATGGAGCATTCTCAGTTGCAGGGAATGAAGACAGTCTATCACCTACAGGAATGGCTAGAGAAAATTCTCTGCAGAGAAAGGAAGTGACATCAGAAGGGATCTTAGACTTTAGGAAGGAAGACAGAATATGGAATAAAAAGTACGGGTTAGGGGCGCCTGGGTGGCTCGGTTGTTAAGCATCTGCCTTCACCTCGGGTCATGGTCCCAGGGTCCTGGGATCAAGCCCCACATCGGGCTCCCTGCTCGGCAGGAAGCCTGCTTCTCCCTCTGCTCCTCCCCCTGCTTATGTTCCCTCTCTCGCTGTGTCTCTCTGTCAAATAAAGAGAATCTTTTTAAAAAAAAGTACAGGTTGGGCGCCTGGGTGGCTCAGTCGTTAAGCGTCTGCCTTCGGCTCAGGTCATGATCCCCAGGTCCTGGGATCGAGTCCCACATTGGGCTCCCTGCTCGGAGGGGAGCCTGCTCTCCCTCTCCCACTCCCACTGCTTGTGTTCCTGCTCTTGCTATCTCTGTCTCTGTCAAATAAATAAATAAAATCTAAAATAAAATAAAATAAAAAAAGTACGGGTTAATAAACCAGACTTCCCTTCTCCTCCTGGGTCTTCTAACTTAGGGCTGATGGTCGAGGCCAAACTTATGACACTGTCTGATGTGGTTCTAAACATGTAGAGAAAATATTTAAAACAATTTTATTTTAAATGAAAAAGGTAAACGGATATAGAGGAAAGTACACTTTCTACACTTCATTTGAACTCATAAAACAATGACACCAGTAGATTGTGATAAGCTGTGTATATATAATACCATACCCAGACGACCACTAAAAAGCCTGAAAACAACTGCTAAAAACACAAAGATATGAATAAAAATACCATACACAAATAAAATTGGAATTCTAAAATACAGGCTTAAAAACCCATCTGAAGTCAGGAAAAAGAGGACAGAGAAATGAAAAAGAAAACAAACACAAAATAAAGGACAAGATGTTAGACTTAAGCCCCAGCATATCAATAATTACATTAAATATAAACGATCTAAATATGCCAACTAGAAGACAGAGATTGGCCAAGTGGATTAAAAAATAAAAAAAGACCTGATGATATGCCTGTCTACAAGAAACCCACTTCAAATATGACACAGACAGATTAGAAGTACAAGGATAGAAAAAGATATAACTTGTAAACACAATCAAAAGCAGAGCTCACTCCATTATTATCAGATAAAGTAGACATCAGAGCAAAGAAAATTACTAGACACAGAAAGGGGCATTACGTGATCATAGGTCAATCCATCTAGAAGACAGAGGAATCCCAACTGTGCATGCACTCAATAATGGACCTACAAATAATGTGAACCAAAAACTGAGGAGAGAAAGGAGAAAAAGAGGCGGCTGGGTGGCTCAGATGGTTAAGCGTCTGCCTTCGGCTCAGGTCATGATCCCAGGGTCCTGGGATCGAGCCCCGCATCAGGCTCCCTGCTCAGTGGGGAGCCTGCTTCTCCCTTTCCTTCTGCTATTCCCTCTGCCTGTGCTCTTTGGCTCTCTCTCTGTGTCAAATAAATAAATAAAACCTTAAGAAAAAAAAAGAAAGAAAGGAGAAACAGAGAAACCCACAGGTATAGTTGGAGACTTCAACTCTTCTCTCTCAATAATTCATTTAAAAGGAAAATAGAAAATTGCCAAGGATATAGAAGGACTCAACAACCACCAACCAACAGGATCTAATGGGCATTTACAGAACACTTCGCCCGACAACAGCAGAATACACGTACTTCCCAAGTGCCCATGGAACATATGCCAAGACACAGTTCACTGGACCATAAAAAATGGTCAACAAATTTAGCAGAACTGAAATCATACAGAATGCATTCTCTAACCACAATGGAATCAGACTAGAAATCAGTAACAGATAAAAGGAAAGTCTCCAAATTATTAGAAATGAAACAACACACTCCTAAATAATCCATGGATGACAGAGGAAGTATTAAAGGGTATCAATACATGGAACTGAATGAAAATGAAAATATGACATACCAAAATTTGTGGGACAGCTAAAGCAGTTTCCCAGAGGGAAATTTACGGC